AAGTGCCCTGCAAGTCACTGAGGGAGTCAGCTTTTATCAGGGCATTGTTCCCTGTGATTTTAAGTTGATATTAAAAATCTGTGTTATATTGGTATTTTTATAGACATAGCATAATATATGCTCATTCTTTACCTATCCTATCTTTAGACCCCATATTAAATTTTCTCTAAAGCGATCAAGAGACAGTATAGATAACTAAAGAGTTCACTTAATACTAAGATGGGGCATTTAATAATGGTAAAATCATTACAGAAAGCAATAGCAGAGAAGTACGTATGAGTTAAGGCAGAGTTTGAAAGGTGTGAAGAAAACAGGATATATCAGCAAAGAGCAAACTCTTACCCAACACAAATAATAAATTCCAGTTTCTTATGAAATCTCCCTTTTTCTTTCCCTCTTTTCCTTCAATAAAGTGGAAAGCTGTAAGAAAAATAATTTCCTTGAGTCAGCCCTTTTTCTTTGCTCTCCCAATAAGGAAGCTGATTTCGGGTGGTATTTTCATGTTTGATAATTTACTTGGTAATCTTGTAACCTCTGACAGTAAGTCCTCTCTGCTCCCCTGTGTAGACCAAGGATGCCCCTACTGGCTGATTTTTACATTTCGCTTCAAGATGCATCCATCATTAATGTAGAATTAGCAGGCCCAATTAATGTTCTTAGGCTGCCATAGAAACAAGAGCTATTGAAATCAATCAGTAAATTTAGCTCGTGATTAAGAGTGCCAGAAATTTCTAGCTGAGGTTTAGCTGATTTAATTTTCCAGCAGGGAGCTAGCTCATAGTTGCATGTGAACCCACTCACCATGTTTTATTGTCAGGAAGCCAGTGGAAGATGCTCATTTTTCCAGATGATTAGCAGTTTCCATGGCTAAAATAATAGCTTTGCTATGCCAGTGAACCCCAAAAGTGCAGAAGGCAGCAATGATCCTGGTATAGTCCACTCTCTGCTTAGCAATATTGTTGGGTGATTGTTTGCTTTGTGGAAGAGTGAAAATACCAATGACAATTTATTGTCATTTCTCTTCTTTACTTTCTGTAAAATACATATCTTAAGGGTTCTGAATTTTTCATCTTACTGAAAACTTGCCTTGTAGGGATGTGGTAATACATTCTATTTGATTATTTTATGATATTTATATGGAGAGCGAGGAGGCATTGACATTTTTAGTTTAGACTTGATGTTTTCATGCTGTAAAAGATAGCTTCTGCCTCCTTTCCCAAATATTTTGAAGGTTAACCTTGGTGAAGAATTTATGCTTATGCAGTTTGCATGTCATTCCACCAGAACAGCGATAAGCCAGATTAGCATTTTGAAATCTTACTGCTGGAGAGCTTTGACATCCTGCAGCCAGGAATAGCCAGTGAAATAGAACCAAAACAGATGAGAGTGTAGGGCCGAGACACGGAAGGCAGGAGAGCAAGAGCTGTCAGTTGGGTCATATTCAGAGATTAAAGAAAAGGAAGAAGGGGCACAAAAAGGCAATACTGTAGGACTCCACCTGTATGAGGTATCGTGGTCCCATTCATAGGAACAGAGTAGGACGGTGGTGCCTAAGGGCTGGGGGAGAGGAAAAAGACCAGTTGTTTAATGGATACGGAGTTTCAGAAACGCAAGATGAAAGTGTTCTAGAGATCTGTCTGACAACACTGAATATACTTAACAGCACCGAACCCCACTTAACAATGGTTAAGAAGGTAAATTTTATGTTGTGTATTTTTACCACAATAAAAAGAAAATGAGGACTGCAAATTGTCCACAGAATTTAGCCACAAAGAAGTCATCAGTGACCCCCGGCAAGAATATGGATTTTTTGAGGTTGGGGAATAAGGTCCACTTGAGGTGGTTGAAGTGACAGGCAGGTGAGGACATGAAGACTATGTGAGGAAACTATAATTATTCACAGAGATTGGCTGTTAAGTGGAATAGGAAAGTAGAAGGCAACAGTATACTTTTGTTCTTGTTTTTAAGAGAAACTATTGCAATTTTGAATGGAGCTGCACAGCATGCAGTAAAGAAGGAGAAATGGAAAATGCAAGGGAAATAGAGAGCTCAGTTGAAGCCCCTGAGAAAAGGGGAGGAGATGGAGTACACAGCATAAGGATGTTGCTGTGTGACACTTGTCAGAACTGGGGGACAGAGAGTTCCTCTCGCTGGTCCTGCAGGGTAGTCAGGATGGTAAGTTAGTAAGGTGGGCAACTTCATGCCTGCTTTACTCGGACAGATTGCTAACATGGGTCCCCACTGAAAAGCACAGAAAGATAGTACAAAGATTGTGCAAAGAAAGGCACAATTACAGAAAAAGTTAATGCACCAATAGCTCTTTGTTCATTTTTCCTGAGAAAAGTAGGCCAAAAGGCTGCAAGCCCAGCTCTCCAGACGTATCCTGGAAAGAGAAAGCCTTCATACCTCTCTGGTGAGAAATGAAGACTCACTTAAGGAACAGACAAAGCAAAAAGTCTGGCTGCTGCAGAGGTGCCATTAATCAGAGTTTCTTCCAACCCTAAAAGGAGTAAATATTAGGGAATGACAGGATGAGAATAGATATTGATGTCTGTTCTGTACTGTATGAGGTAGTTTAAGATTTCTTTAAGCCTAGTGTTTTTGGAGATTGGCTAAACAAAGGAATAGGTAATACATGTGTAACATATGGGAAACCTCCCAAGTGCATTTGTTTGGAAACTTGGAAATCTGGCTTTCAAAGGGATTTCATGAGTTTTATGAACTTTATTCTCCAGTGGCAGTCATTTTTCCCATCAGCGTAGTTCATGGAGGTGTTAGCAGACTCAACTTCGACTTCCTTTTCTTACCTGTTCTCATTGTATATTAATCCTTAGACATTGCTAATTCCTTGTAACTGTATTTTTTTCTAGAATATTGATAATTCTTTATGTTATAAAAGACATTTATAAAGGTATTTTCAGAGTGATCATTGTCCCTTCTTAGGCAGTAACATCTGTTCTACCTGACGTGCAGTACAGTCTCTAGAAGGTACAAATATCTTCTAAGAAGTGTGTGTATATTGTGAGTTCTGTGTTTAAAAACCAATTTCCTTCATGCTTGGATTCAACAAATACTTGTTGTTTACTTTGTGGTAAGCAGTTTGTTACATTTCATTTATACCAGTAAATATAATAATGGTCCTTGACCTTGGGGAGCTTCTAATCCAGTGAGAGAGTCCAGATTTAAACGGATAGCCACACAAATTGTATAATTACAATTATAACAAATTCCGTGAAGGAAAAGCACAGGGTACCATGAAGCCTACGGCATGGACAACCTAAGGTGATTTGGGGAATCAGGGAGGCTTCCATGGAGAGGTGATGTTTAAACTGAGGCCAGAAGGACACCTGGGAATTAGCCCAGTGAGGGTATGGCAGAGAGGCAGGTATGGAAAGTGAGAGGTAGTAGACTGTGCTGAGGCCTTGAGGTGGGAAGAAGCTTGTCCTGTTTCAAGAAGAAATGAAGACCGGTTGGACTGGAGTAAGGAAGAACAGAGGGGTGGCTGGAGAGCAGGCAGCCCCAATCACAGCTGTTGGCAGAGCTGTGCCGAGGGTCTAAGTAAGCATCAGACAGCATCAGATTTGTGAAAGTTCACTCTAGAAGCTGGGTAGAGATGCTATTCTCTAGGACAGGCACAACATACTTTTTCTGTAAAGATCCAGATAGTAAATATATTAGGTTTTGTGAGCCATCAGGTCCGTCACAACCACTCTATACTATAAAAGCAGCCATAGACGTGTATAAATGAATGAACCCAGCTATGTTTCATAGAACTTTATTTATGGATGCTGAAATTTGAATTTCATATAGTTTTCACATGTCATGAAGTGTTCTTCTTTTCACCTTTTAAAAACCATTTAAAAAATGGGAAAAATACTCTTAGTTCGGAAGCCATACTGACAGGTGGCAGGCTGCATTCGCCATGAAGAGTCAGGTTTGCCGACCCTTGGAATGGGACTTAACATTTCTTAGCCTTGTAACTTTTTCTTTTCTACCTCTTCAGTCACATGTAGTTCTACCATGGCATTTTCCTTAAGTTGTCTACATTTTTTTTCAACATTCCGGGGAAGGTATGACCAATGCTAAATAAAAAATGGGAATATAACCTCTCCTTTTCTATTTCTTTCTCTTAATATTACATTTTACATTTGAAAATCAGTATGTCATGACTGGCCCATTCTATTTTTTATCCACCATCCTTTTCTTTTTTAAGAATGGGTCATTTTGTAGTTTTCCTATTTATTTTTTTCTTCCCAAAATGTTATACTTGGTGCTTTCTTCTTTTAAACCTCACACTGAATTTTTCATCTTTACCTGGTAATAATTCTTCTAAAGTTTAATTCTGTCGTTCAAGAGGAAAAATAGTACAGACATCAGAAAAACAAAGTAAAAAAATTCTCAAACAAAGCAACACAATTGCAGGCAAACATTTGTTGTATGACTAGATAAAATACTTTATTTATTAAATCAAGATAAGCAACAGCCAAATAATTTCAGATCTGCAAACAACCTTCTGATGTGAAGGGAAATTCCTAGGTGCTTTTGTAGTATACTCTTCAGGCAGCGGCCCCACAAGATGCTGGAAAGCATTATGTAGTATAAATGGTACAGACAGACCTGGTTCAAATTCCATCGATCCTTAAGGCATAGGATATTGGACAACTTAATTTCTTGGAGCCTAAGCCTCATTGAAGCATGCAAAATACATAGTGTATGGGAGGGAATTCCCGTCCACCTTTCTTCCCCAGAAAGCATAACCTTTTATCAAACGGAAGTAGTCATGTTAAAAAATTGGAGGAAAAAGCAGCCCGTATTTGGTGGTGGTAAGGGTGTCGGTTTGGGTTTTAACCTCGTACAGATATGAAGTAAAAAGAAAAAAAACAAAACACTAGCAATATAAATGAAAGCAATGTCCATGTGAAAGGTAGTATAGATGATAAATGTCTGCACTTTTCATTAATATTTCCTTTGCCTTGTTTATTTTACTTCTGAAAACTCAGGTTTGACAGTTCTCTGGAAGACCCGCCTAAGTGTGGACCCCACCCCCCTGCAGCTCCTCAGGTTTTACATATCGGTAGCCAAGTAGCCACACTTTCTAAAGCAACTACCTATTCTAGGTAGAGTTTTTTCTTTCTTGGTTTGTCTAAATGTTAATGCTGGCAGTGAAATTAAATACTAAAACTGTTTGACTAAAAAGGAAAAAGTGACCATAGATTACAGAACTGACATCATTAATATGTAGACAAGAAAGCTTGGCACGCGGCCTTGGAACACTGCTTTACGCTGCTTTGTACATTTTTCACTTTTTGTTTAGATTTGAGTTCTAATGCAGAGTCAGGAAATGTGTGCCTTTTATTTATTCACTGTGATGTGGAAAGTCAGCTTTCTTGAGTTTGTCATAAGTCTACTTTACTAATTAAAGCATTCACCCCTAAAAAAGGAGTTACAGAGACTCAGGTGCCCAGACATATTCTAAAGGGGTTCAGGCTAATTTGTCTTGGAAGAGTTCGTTGGACTCGGCTGATACCAAGTCCTTTTATATTATTATTTGTGATACACTATGGTGAAAGAAATTCGTTACAGTTTCCTTCTCTTCTCAAAGGAGAAAGATAATTTAGCTGATTTATTTTTTAGCTGACTTTTTATAGATTTAAGTTCCTCGTTATTATTTGCCATTGCTTCCCGCAGTGGTAGCCATTGCCTCAAAGGTGCAGAGTAGTTGAGAGGTTATAGCACCAACAGTTGAATCACGTGGTCACTTAATTCTTCCACTTTGCATGACTCTCATATTACCCTGCTCTGCCGCTGATGGCCTCTTTCTTTCCTCTTTCCAGTTACCATTTTTTTCTTTCTTAGCCATTCACAACATTTGTTAGAATGTAGCCATACCTTTCAGTTAAATTATAGACTTGAAAAAAATTATACTTAAACAATTCTAATTTTTTTTTAATGGATTACCAACATTTTGTTTATTTGCCTTCTACTGGCTTGTAAAGTTATAGCTAAGAGAACTAGGAATAATGGATTATCAAATTCTTCTGCAGGGACAAGAGACTTTTGTGAACCCGCATAGTTTTAGATGTCTGAGCTCTCATTAACCCAGGATGAGCTTGGCACATAATTACTTTATGTTGGAAGTGGCCGCTGTCACAAATTTTGAAAATGTGATGGTAGTATAGTGAGGTAATAACTTCTACCCATAAATGAAGAAGAGTAACTGCAGGTTTCACACTGGGCATTTTAGATTTTCTTTTTCCTTAGTAAAAAAATTCTCACTTCCAATTCGATAACCCATTTGGAAATCTGATTACACTCCTAATGATGGAATGTTAACTCCTGTCTAGGTATTGGACCTTTTTTAAAAGACCAAAGGAAAATAATAATTATGTTCAGTAATAAAGAGTCCTGAAGATAACATTTGATACCGGCATTTTTGTATCTTTACAGAGCTAACTGAAAAGAGAAATATAGAGAAAGTGATGTTTAGTCATATTCACTGTAACTGCTTTTTATTTTACAAAGGTGCTTATGCCTCCTAACTAGCTTTACTCTCAATATTTTGAACAGTTATTTCTTGTTCATTAATATGTGTTGCTGCGTCTGAACAGGCAACCGGTTTTACCTGCTTCTCCTGAAAACACTAAAATGTCAGGCTCTGGGAGTCTATCATCTCTAAGGTAAAACCCTTACTGTAGAGACATTTTAGAAAACCTCAGCATGACCTTTCTCTGCTTACAGAAATTCAAACTTCATATTTAGGTTTATTTTCTACTTAGTTATTGACAAATCAGTTTTCAAATGTGTGTTGTTATATGATAGTGAATTAATATAAATTGGATTAGAGACAGTTAACTTAAATACATTAAAAATGTTTATATCTCAAAAACCAGTGATATAGAGGATTCTATATCAAATTTTAATTTCTGAGAAAAATCATAGCAACAGTAAATAAATGACCTCAACTCCTATTGCGCTTATGACGTGTCACACCTGTACAATGTCTCAATATCAATATACGATGGTTGCCATCTCACCTGTATTCTGCCTCTTCTCACTTTCCTTTTTGTTCCTCTGTCTTTCCTTCCCTACCTGTCAACTTAAGCAGCTCCACAAGAAATGTGGTGACAAGTTCTTTGGAAGGTTCTCGAAACTTTTCTACCTTCTCCTCTCCTGCTAGATACAGTGCTGCGGTTCTGAGCAGTGCAGCTGCCACTGTGTCTGCTGTTCTTGCTGCAAAAACCAGGTAGAACTATGTGTGCAATGTATGTTTGTGTGATCCCAACTCTTCCCTGTCTTACCCGCCCCCTCAAAGGAAACACCCATTTAAAACAGTCACAGCGCTGTGAGGATATCTTAATCATATTGCAGCCTTTTTGTCTAGGTTGTATTATAGATATACAGAGGGTGCCAAAAAAAGTATACACATTTTAAGAAGGAAAACTGTATTAATATTGTAATACTCAATATATACCAATAACAAAAGATGAATACAAATCATGTTTGACTTCTGCAATCACAAGAGGTGTTCAAAGTGGTTAACCATCAGTGTCCAGACACTTCTGATTATGGCAAGCTACTGCGTGAGCAACATTGACCAAAGTGTTAACATCTCTTAAAATGTGTATACATTTTTTGATACCCCCGGTATATTCCACAATGTTTATTACTGATTTTGTTTTAAATCACACTTTTATCTCTTTTCATAACTATACCATTTATCTCTGATATTTTTCAGTTGCGTGGGTTATTGCATGTTGTGTGCCTGTTAACTTTTGGGGTTTTATAATTTTTAGTTTTTATATCTGGAACAGAATCAAGTATGTATAAGTATTTTAAATTTCTATTGGTTGTATCTTCTCCCACAAACTGATTATATTTAAGGGTGATCTAAAACCCAACTGTTCTTTGCATCACCCCTTCCTCCCAATAAAAGAATAAAAACTTTATTTTTTGGGGTTTTTGTTTATGTATAATTTCTAGCAGTCTTTTCCAGCTTTATATGTTTTCTAAAAGATTACACTGATCAATTTTGGTGAAAATGTAATCAATTCTATTATATATTAATGAGGAAATTAATAGGCTCTTAGCCCTTCTCTTCATCCTCTATTTCTTAATTCTGCCTTTCTCTCTGTCTGTTTCTGTCTGTCTCTGTGGAAATGTCTCAAATCACAGACTGTAAAAGCTACTTTCTACTATTGGTAGTGTGATTTTTCAACTTGAAACTTTTTCTAAATGCTCACCAGGCTCTCCAGTCCTGAAAACTATCACTCACTCCTGGATGCACTTTGCATCAGCCCTGTTTCCAAGCCTTTAGCTTTGTCATACCTCCAATCCTTGAGGAAATCAACTGGCTCTATCCATTTTGAGAAAACAAGGTACTATGGGAGAGGATGTTCCAAGTCGTGGTTTGCTGAAAAGATCCTGCTTTGTGTAACACTTCACTGCCATCATAACAGGCCAGATGAGCAAACCCTAGCACTGATTTGTGCCTGGTTTTAAAGTAACTGTAATTTCAGTGCCTTGCTAGTGCACAAGCATGTTAGATTGTGTGATTATTAACTTGCCCTTTAACCCTTCTATTACATCTTTTATTAGCACACTTGATGTTTGTTATGAAATTATGAGTAATTATGCAAGTGCTTAACTTAAGATAGAACCCTGCCTTATATTGCATGGATGTAAGCTATACTGGAACAGTCAAATGTTTTAGTAAGAGATACCGTTATGCCTTTTGAAAAAATGAAAAAGAATAATAAAATACTTGGTTTTGGTTAGCTACTGTCTAAGAGTTCTCAAATATGAAGGTTTTACTTGGGTCATATCTGGGAAATACTGAAACAAATTAATTTTTTTCCTAAACAATTATGCCAAAAATTATTAAGCATAATATAAAAAATAAATATATCCTGAATGTTTATTACTAAAGGTATACTCTTAATTAAATAGCTATTGTATAAAATGATTTCTGACAGAACATAAAATTAATGGCAGAGTGTACAACTATGACTATAAGTAGTAAAGCCTGATATGACATAGGCTATCTATCATGTTTATATCCTACCCCTTGTTATGGAGGTTTTCAATATACTTACTTCTAATTCTGAGAACTTTTAAGGGAGGTGTTTAAACAGGGGGAGATTTTGCTGTAAGAAAAAATATCTGAAATCATTTTATATTTGTGGAATTTTGAGTGTTAAATGAGCAGAAATCTTTGTCAGGGCAAAGTCTGTGCAGTGACAGGTTACTGACGACACTTGGAATAAAAGGCCCCTTTGAAGACGTAATAGAATGCTCTAGATCCTCTCTCCAGAAAAGCACCTGGTGAAAATTTTTTTTGTTTTCCTAAATGGCAAGTGGTATGTTTTGATTAACAACAAATGGAGATGGGATGCTGGAAAAATACTGGTTCTGTGAAAATACCCCCTTTCTCCATCAGTGGCTCAGCTCTTATCTTTCTATTCTAAGTTATTTTGCTTTCACTGTTTAACAAGCAAAGAAAAAAAATAACTATAAAAATTCTTAGATACCTTGTTCAAGTGGAGACTCTTAATGTTTTTTATTTATTACTAAAACCAAGGACAATTTTATAATTTTTTTTGGTATGTAGCTGTTACATGTAAAGCAATCTGTCTTTATGCAGGGACAAATTACTCTAAAAGAAATGAGTCCTAGATACTTTTACCTTCAAGTCAAGTGTCTAGTTTAAATACACCTCTTCTTAAAAAAAAAAAAAGGTGTGCATGCAGTTTTGGACTGACTGAAGCTTTCCATGGATCCACTTCTAGAGCAAATGTTAGTAGTCATTATCACTACTTTTTATTAATAGCAATTGGCACAAAGTAATACATTTTAGTATTTGGGAAAGGGAAATGATTCTTGACAAGGTAAGCCAGTTGACATTCTGGAAGCAGGAACACAGGGTTTCCTGAGGAGACCTTGCTAATTCAGTGAGAAGGGAACCAAAAAAGAACAGTTGGGTTAGTGTTGGAGGTATTTTATCTCTCATGTTTGCTTTTGTATGGCAGTAATCTTTAAAATTATAATAAAGTATAATACCAAACTTGTTTCTTTCCATTATAGTATATTTAGCATTTTGAATTTTGGTGCAAAAAGTCTAAGTTAAACAATTTTGCGTAGGGCAATGTTTTTTAAAATTTTGTAAACTCAGATTTCTGGAAGGAAGGAGACCTGTGGCTCCTCTATATGTCTAGCTCCTTTTACAGAGTTCTGACAGAGAATTCTATTAAAATAAAAAGTTGCTTGTAATGATAACCCTTTCAGAAATATTTCCTTCCTTCTGAAGAATACCACTTCAGAGTCTTCGTATTAGTATATCAATTTTTATAAGACTTTAAGTAAAAACTGTTTAGTTTAAACATTGATAATTAAAACCTGTGATATATATAGTTGGCTTTTAAAAAATGTTAAACATGTAATTAGAATAAAAGTTACTTCAAGAGTATTCTTCAAACAGAATTTTTCCTTTGAAAATAGATTTAAAATTTCCAACTGTTCTCAATCTGCAGCTGAAATTTATTTGTTGTAATAGTTAAGCAAATGTGGGGAAGGAATGTAAACTCAGGATAAATCAGGTTGCTGACACTGAAAGTAAACTTTTCTTCCTTTTTTCCTGATTAGCTCAGTTTTGAAAAGAAATCTTTGCTCTATTAATGTATTTTCAATTTTTGAAATATGAAACAAAAATCTTTGGTATTTTGGAGCTGGAAGCCAGATTAATTTAACATATCATTTCAGTACTTGTTTATTTGGTAGGCTAGTGAAAAAGGCCATATTTGCTTCTTTGCTTCTGTGGTATTAGCCAAGGGTATTTATGAATTTACTCTGGTTTTCTCATAAGAATCTTTTAGAAAGCATTTTAATTTTGATTAAAATTTAGGTATACATAAACAATTTAAATGTAGAAAATATATGTATGAGTCATGATTTCAGAAATAAGATACCAATCTAATTTAAGTAATCATGCCATATTAATAAATGAGTAATTAATTTAAAATATTTTGCTGTTTACGATTATTGATAGTATTTTCAAATGTAAAATAATATGACCAATGACACTATTAATTTTTTAACATGATACCTAATGTTTATGTATTTTCTTTAAATAGTCTCTAATAGTTAAAATTAGGAAAAAAAGACATATTTTTAGAGACCTAGGCATCATATATTCAGATGTGTGATTGTCTAGATTAAATTAATATTTTTCCATAACTACATTAAATATTTTAAGTAAATAGAGATCTATTTCCCCATGGAATATTGAACTCTGATGATCAATCCTGAATTTAAAAGTAAATGGAACAACTTTCTTGCTTGTAACTTGTATTTTTATAAGTTCTTTATAATTTACCGCACACCCTTTATATCTAAAGAATACTGTTTATGATTTAAACCTTAGGCCTTTTGGGAGAATATATGTGCAAGACTATGTAAAAAGAATACAATAAAAAATGGAAACTTTTCTTGGGCCTATGAGGTACTTATTCCATGGGAATTTTGTGTTAAGAAGTAATTTTGTGTTATTTAAGGAATTTTGTGTTATAACACAATAAGAAATATTGTGTTATTTTAAGTTGGGTTGAGGAAGCCAGCTTGTGTATGGATCAAAATCCAAAAAAAAACTACCCACAAACTATATTTAGAAGTAAAATTACTAGTACAGATGAGAGGTGTTTATTTAGCAAATGTACTAATCGCTTGGTATCTGAACTAGATATTACAGAATTTATCTGAGCACAGATAAACTCTGTGCTCAGCACTGTGCTAAGTACTTTACATGTATTACCTCATTGTATTTCATTTAATTCTAGCGATAACCTTGGAATAAAGGTAGTATTTTTGTCTCATTTTACAGATGAGGAAACTTACCAATTTAAGTAATATTCCCAATGTCACGGTAAAGACCCAAATATTAGATGGTTTATAATGTAGTGGAGGAAACTATATACATAAAGAACTTACTATTAATTAAAAACAGAAACCCTGGCTGTTACAAATCAAAAGGTAACTATATATGCTGTGCAGTTAGTATGTGCCATGAATTGAAGGAAGGAATGACTCTACTTCTAGAATATTGAGTGATTAAATAAAATGACGTTACTTGCATAGCATAATACACAGTGCACGATGGATATTATTGTTAGTGCTAATTATTATGGATAGGATCGGACTAGTGTAGAGGGAAAGTGGGGGGAAGTGCCTTCTATATAGAGCCTAGAAGAAATGGAGAATTGTGGACAGAGCCGAGACATGGCCAGGATATAGTCGATTGTAGCTATATCTTAGGAGGCTTTGAAGGTCATGCTGAAGTGTAACTTAGCCCTCCACCCTCTAAATCATCGGTTCTCAACCTGTGGGTCACGACTCTTTTGGGGGTCAAACGACCCTTCCACAGGGGTCGCCTAAGACCATCGGAAAACAAAAAGATATTTACGATTAAGATATTACGATTCATCACAGTAGCAAAATTACAGTTATAGAGTAGCAACGAAAATCATTTTATGGTTGGGGGTCACCACAACAGAGGAACTGTATTAAGGGGTCGCGGCATTAGGAAGGTTGAGAACCGCTGCTCTAAATGGTTAAATTTGTTCTATAGCATTTTCATCCTCTGCTTAAGAACCTTCTGGAGAGACCTCTTCAAGAAAGGCAAGTTTAAGGAAACAATTTTTTTTCCTTTGGATGATTTTTCATATTAGTTACTTCCTTTTATTGAACTAAATCTATCTCACTGTCAATTCCACTCAACTTTAGGCAAACAGAATATAGCCGCATCGAGTGAAATTTACTGTCACACATTTGAGGATGGTTCTTATGCTTCTCCTGAGTTTTTTCATATCCTGGGTCCGTATTACCAGTTCCCTCAACCACATTTCATTAGGCTTGGCATTGATTTCCTGTCATCCTGGTCACTTTCTTCTAAGTAAATCTGTCTGGCAACTCTCCTAGAATTAAATTTCAATTCTTTCAGGTTATTAAATATTAAATGATGATTTGGGTTTTGTTATTTCCAGATTATATTTGTGTTTCATCTGTAACTTCTAGTATTCTTTGTCATAAATTTTCTGCTCAGAACTGTGACTATGTGATTACTATCTTTTTCAAATTCACATGGGTAATTAACCCTAGAATTAAAATGACCTGTACTTATGTATTACTTTAAAATATCATTTATTTGTAATGTGTAAAAATATTGAAAATAAGTCTTTTGTTGTTTGAATGTATTAATTGTCCTTTTCATATGTCAATTTCATATTCTGTGCCTTAGAGTATGCTAAGCACTTTGTACATAATTATCTTATTTAAGCCTCATGAAATTCTAATGAACAAAATATTGGGTTGTCAGAAAAGTCATGACATATTTTTCCTGGTTTTTTTTTGCAAAAATGCATCATGACTTTTCCAACAACCCAATATTATCCGCATGTAAAGTTTAGGTAACTGAGGCTTAGAGAAGTAAAATAATTTGCTCATCATAAAACTTTTAAAATGCTCTCAAAACCACGACACTATCATGCTTAAACTGTTTCCATTCATATTTATCTATTGTGTCATTTTTATTGATAATCGTGTCCAGCATTGCTATTAAGTAAGCAGTCTTTCACTTTTTTTGTTATAAAAATTATTAAAGTGCTTACATTTTTCATTGGATAGTATGTTTTGCCATCAAACAGGTCTTAGTTTTACATTAAACTGATTAGAAATGATAAAAGAAGGTGATAGCTCTTTTACACTTGAATTTGAGAGAACCATAATAGGGAACTATATTTTAAGAAAGTTAAAAGAGCTCTAGTGTGATTTTTCAAATCTGTGCAGTGTCAGAGGTGCCCAAGAACTTTCCCCAGGTGTGATGATTCATTCACTAGAGCACTTAGGGACGTTAGTACGTAGTTGTACCCATGACTAAGAGTTATTACAGTGAAAGAAGACAAAGCAAAATCAACAAGAGGGAAAGTTGCTGCATGGTATCAAATCTGGAAGAAGTGAGACTCACGTTGCCAAAAGCCCTCTTCCGGTGATTCACACAGGAGGTGCTTGATTCCTAAAGCAGAGAGTTATGAGAATACGTGCAAATGCTGTCTACCAGAGAAGCTCCTTGGAAACTAAGGACCCAGACAAGGTTGTTACTGGGGCTTCTTATGTAGGCACACTGTGCCCGATTCACCCCAAAATTCCAGACTCTCAAAAAAAGTGGATATTTGGCATCAACCACATTGTTTGCAAAGCTTAGGCACAGTGAGCCACTCTTATCTTTTAGAGAGAGGGTTTTTTTTTTTTTTTTTTTAGTTTCAGGTGTACAAAACAATGTAATAGTTAATATTTATACCCCTCACAAAGTGATAATTGCCCACCTCCCCCAATCTACTACCCTTCTGACGTCGTATGTAGCTGTTACAGTTCCATTGACTCCATTCCCTGTGCTGTACTCCACATCCTGTGACTATATATATATATGTGTGTGTGTGTATATATATATATATATATATATATATATTAAATTATAGTTGACATTCAATATTATTCAGCTTCAGCTTTAGATGTACACTGCAGTGGTCAGGCATCTACATTGTCCATGTCACTTATATGTGGAATCTAAAGACTAGAATAAATGAGCTAACTGATCAGAAACAGTCTGAGATATAGAGAAAAAACCAAGGGTTGCTAGATGGGAGGGGGTGGGGATGAAGGAGACAGTGAGGGGATTAGAAAGTACAATCAGTAACCACAAAATTGCCACGGGGATATGAAAGACAGTTTGGGGACTAGAGAGAGGTTTTTGTTTTTTGTTTTTTGTTTGGTTTCAGGTGTACAAAACAATGTAATAGTTATACATTTCACCCCTCACAAAGTGATAACCCCCCTCCCCCAATCTATTGCCCCTCTGACATCGTATTTATCTATTACAATTCCGTTGACTGGGAATAGAGAGAGTTTTTACATGTCTGTAGGGAACTGTTTACAAGTCAGGTTCCCAAATGCCAGTCAAAGGCCAGCCTTGCAAGCAGGCCTTCCTAAGTCTTGGTGGGCAGCCTCAGGCCTTCTTTCTTAGATGTTGTCCAAGATTCAAGAGGCATTGGGGCAGTTAAGGATTCTTGTGCACTTGGTAGTATAGTAGATAGGAGTGAATTTGAAGTTTCTTGAAATAATCTAAATCATCTCAACCTAAACAGTATAATTAAGGGTATTTATTTTATTGACGTCATTAATATAGCACTCTATCTTTATCAATCGGTTGCCCCAGCTGTTGCTTTCAGATATTGAAGAAACCGAGTATCTGTGTGTGAAAGTATTTAAGCAACCAGTACCTCAATTTCTATTGAAAAGTTAGTAGGATGTATTATTATCATTGTTGTGTTATAATAACAATTATTCTTATACTTCAGTTGAGAGAAACTGCTATAGTCTTGTGTCATTCCAAAGTGCATATTTTGATCATTTGAGTTACTTAAACACTTATTTTGAAATGGTATTTAATTATAAGTGACCAATAACTGAGTCATGAAAGCCATATGATCTTTTAAATCAAACTGGAACCAGCACTGATAAGGCCTCCCGTTAAGCAAATCACTGGCCGAGAGAGAACAATGGAGGTCTTGTCTTGTCTCTTGTTTTCCTGTGTTATGAACACAGAACAGACTGGGGATATTGTCTCCTGTTTACCACTATATGGTCGGTGCATAGCATATTGTCAGCATATAATAGGTGCTTAAACATTTATGAATGAATGAGTGACTGAGTGAGTATGTGAATGAAAAGAGTGACTGGTGAGATGTCAGAGAAACTTAGTTCATGAAACACCAGAAGAATGTGGGAAAAGAGAAAGAAACATCGTGCCATTTCATAGAGATTAACAGGGATTCTTCAATAATTAATTGTTTTAGTCTACATGATTAAGTGTTGAGATAGAGAGGAACAGGAAGAGGAAATTTGCATATTGTTGTAAAGAATTAGTTATATATGTTTTCCCAGTAGCCTAATTTTTCATGGTAGACCTTGTAAAGAGAATTTCCAAAGTATTGAATAAATGCAGTCTGACTACTTTTCTTTTTTAGTTTTAAAGAGTGGCAGCCCCTGAGTCATGGCTTTAAGAGTTTTTCTTTTTTAATACTATCAGTTAATTATTCTGTTTTGTATTCCCTAGAGATTTAATGGATTGAGAAAAGAAAGGATCATTGCTAGCTTAGATTGCTACCACTTCACCAAAAATGTTTTCTTACTTCCTTTCCAGCAACACCCAGGAGCCTTCTCAGCATCTGGCTCCATCATTAGCTTCAGCACAGAGCATGCCTGTGAGGCCAGAAAGCCCAGCCTCTGCCAGACCAGGGGTGGCTGGTCTCACAACCGCTGCTGCCTTCAAGCCTCTAGGATCCACCAGTGCTATCAAGTCACAAAGCTGGCAACGGCCAAACCAAGCAGGTGAGCCAAAGAAAGCTCTTGTTGTTTGCTTTTCTTAAGTACAGTTATGAAAATGTGCCCTGAAGTATATGATAGAATTCATTGGTGAAACCCATTCTCACCCATCTAAGATTTTAAAAGGATTGCAGAGAATAGCTACAGTTCTTTTCCTCTCTGAAGTGTTTCATGAACATTTTCTCTGTGTGTTTGGTACAATTGCCATTTCCTCTTTGTAATTATAGAATCGGGCGTTTCCTTTCTTTCCAGATTACAGAGCATGTGTTAATTGTAAACTTGGGGTCTTATTAACAAATTATATTGTTGAAAGCTTATCCTTGAAAGTATAACATTTTGGTTTAGATGATATATGCAAAACAACAACAGAAGCATTTATTGCCATTATTAATTATTGAAGAAAGGATCTTTTACTTCTTGTCCTCTGAACATTTACCAGGCAGAAGTGGAAGGAGGACACAGTATTAAAAAGAGAACCTTTGAGTGGTTAGGATGGAACAACTTGGGGTCAGTCTGGAAACTTGAGTTTTCATTCACTTCTACTGATAAATAGCTTCAGTTAAAGTCAGTTAGTCTCTTTGACCCTCAGTTTTCTGATCTACAGAATGTAAGGAGACTAAATGATCCCCTGTTTTTCCCAATGTGAACAAAGTTTATGGTTTTAGGACTAAAGTACCTCCTTATCAGGAAGATGGGACTATGCTTAAATGTTGCCAATCCCACATGTGGCCGTCATCTCTTCCCATTCTTTACATTCTCCATGGATGATCTCTCATCTAGGTTCCTTTTACTACCTAGCCACGGATAATTTATAGTGCTCTGTTTCCTGAACTTGATATTTTCAAACCCTGTTGCCCTACTTGCTGTTTCGTGGTGGGACCTCAAATGCAGCATGTCCAGAAGTATCATTACCTATGTCTGATAATGATGCTTTTGGCCATGCTGCATTCAGCCGGTCACCAAAGCTAGAATGTAAGCTTGAGACCTCCCATTGCCAACCCCAAGTCCTCACAGTAATTACCGCCACATATACTTAGTATTTCTCAAATTTCTCTTCTCCTCTCCATTGCTTTGGTTCAGGCCCTTGTCATTGCAAACAACTTTTATCTAATTTATCTCTGCTCACCCCATCAGTCTGTCCTCCATACCACAGCAAATGACCTTTCTGAAGCTCGGATTTGCCCATCACTTTCCAGCTGCAGGTGCTTTACTTAACCTGCCATTGAAGACCTTTTTCCCTCTGGCCCCCATACATTCTCAGTCTCGTCTCCTGCTGTTCCCAGTTGGATATGATGTAGAGACTTTTTGAAAGAAAAGATGATTATATTACTTTTGAAAACTTAAAATCTTTAATATCATGTGCCTCTGAAATTTCTGGACTGTTAATTAACTTAGGAAGACCTGTTTTCTTGGGGGGAAATGCTGACAGCTCAGCCCATACATTTTAAATTATTTCCATTGACTTAAAGCTTACTCATGACGGTGGATATTTGCTGTGATTATTTTATGCATGCATTAGAATTAGGATGCAGAAACAATCTTTCAGAAAAATGTATTTGGTATGGTAATAGGAATGGAACAGGAGAATATTTTCTAAAAGGGCGAGGAAAAACCAAAATTTCTGAGGTAGAAACTGAAGGGAGGGCGCCAAGTATATGTACTGTGGGGGGCAGAAAATATATGTACTGCTTTTGGAAATTCAGAAACTATGGTCAAAACAGCACTCCGCCTGTTAGAGTGAAAAGAAAAAGTTCCAATTGTTGTGGAACGCTTAGAGAATACATTACAGCAAAATTACCACAAGAGGGCGACTGAATCCTTTCTCTTCTGAGTCTAACTTGTTAATAATCAGAGCAGGCAAATAATACAACTAATTATGATTCACATGATTAGTATTCAAAATATTATACTTTTCACAGAACATATAAATGAATTTAATTGGAGCAAAACTATAACAGTATAAAACTTTATACATTATTAACATTATAAAGCATTAATATTACAAACAGAAAATATGTTTGCCATTGTGAAATCATAGTTGATTTACACCATGATGCGTAGCTCAAATCAGAAAATATTTGCAGAACTCCTACTGCTTATCTTGCACTAGGTGCTATAAATGACATTTAATAAGTTATTATGTCATGTAAAAGTGACTTATTTTACACTATTTTGTAAAATAAATTCCCAGTCACTCAAATTATTTTATTCTACTCTACCTAACAGTATACCATAGTTAAAAGGAAAACAAAACATGTCAGAATTACTCTTAAGTCTTGTAAACAGTTTCAAGACCTTCCTAATGAAAATTAAAAGTTCTTTTGATTGAGAAGGTGATAACTTATTATGGGTTCTTTTGTTCTTCACAATTCACCTTTGGAAACTGCAGCGGCAACCAAAGGGATGCAAAAGCTAGAAAGGCAAGTTGCTGGGCTTGCGTGGACTCAGGAAAAGCATTCAGGCAAATGGCATTATTTCCCTCACACAGAGAACTTCGGCCTCTTTTGATAATTCACAGCTGTGCTCGAGTGTGGGTGACAAAAGGGAAAAAAATTATCCCCTCCCCCCATTACCAAACAGTGACTATTACCAGTGATGTCATTTACAAATAATTCCTACAGTTGAGTGGGATCAAAATCACTGTATTGCCATCTGACCCACTTAGTTTATTCTGAAATCAGTGTAATGGATCATAGCCAGTATTTTCATAAAAATGAAATAGAATAGAAACTATAAGAATATTTTAATATTAAGGGTTGGTATCATGTTATGAAAATGTGCTTTTAGTTTATATATGTATAATATATATGAGGGAGTGTGTTTGTATATACACATACAAACATATATTTTGGGTCAGCAGGTAAACTGTATTTTGTACTGTATTTTATAGTACATTGGAAAGTCATTTATTTAAATAAGTATTTTAGTTATACTTTTGTCTACTAGGTGATGACTAATGTAGTTATGAAAGGATACCTTAAAAAATAAAAGAAGAAGACTGCAGTGAAAGGGCTAATTGAAATTTTAAGACCTACTAGTGTATTCTGAACCTGTCATGGGTTTCTGTTACCACCACTGAAGTTATGACTTTAAACCTTAGATCATTTCATTTGCAGTGTTGTATGGCCTGTGTTACCCAGAAGTCTTTCAAGAACTACAGTGATGCCATACCAGTTGATAAATAGGAACTAGGTGTGTATGTAACAGTGCTTTAGTTTACATTGGATCATCTTCTTTTTTGCAGGCATATAGCTTAGCATCCACCACCACACATACACAAGCTTGCCCAGGGACTGACAAAGATCTAAATATTTTATGATGCAAAATGTTCCAGACTTCATAGTCTGCATGAAAGTATTAAGATACAAAAGAAGTAAGAATCTAAACTCGAGTTTAACATAAGCAACAAAACTACTTCCTACTTGCCCTGTATCTTTGGTTAGACTTCCATAATTCAGATGCAGTAGTCCCTTTAGAAATGTTGACTTGATCTAGAAAAATACATAAAATGTAAGACTCTGTTATTTTTCAGAATTGGGGAATGGTCCTTTTTTAACTTATATCTTAATTCACTATATTTGCATGTCTGATTTTATAATGTTTGAAACCATCATATTGTATATAATTAATCAGTGGTTAGGTAGATATTTTCAAAACCTTTGTAGTTTAATGGTATAAATTTAAAAATATGTTTCTGTGCTTATATAGGTGACCTAATTTGCTATGTAATGTTTTTCATAGATTCTGTTTAGGTTACAGAAACCAGATTAGGTAAGTTTAGTTCATTTAATACAAATGTATGTATGAAATATTACTATCTTACCAAATGTACTCAGATATTTTACACAAATCCAGTATCAGAGCCATTATATGTTGGAAGCATATCAGTTTTTTAACTTTAGTTTAACTGTATACAAAATGAGGATGACTGATTCATTAGAATATAAGCAGTGCTTTTCTAGCTCAGGCCTGTTGTTCATCGACCCCAGTTTGCTAACTGGGGGTAGCCCTGAAGAACAGGAAAGCCCACCCAATGGAGTTGAATTTCAGGAGGCCCGAGATGTTCCCCAAATGGAGTATTTTGAGCCTTCAGTTTCTGTATCTGTTAAAATAAGGGTCTAAAAAAGTCTCTTTTAGCATTGTTATGAAGGTCAACGAATATAACAAAGCGCTTAATACATAGAAGATAACTCAAGAGGTTAAGTTTTCACCCCTTTACTTATTTATTTATTTTTAGTGATAGCATTGATAACTTACACCGTTACCATCCAACAAAACAGTTCTCATGCGACTCCTGCTTGAAAATGTTTGGGGCTCTGCTGCCCACACTGTAAAAATGTTTGGCTTCTTAACAGGGCTTAATGGTCCCTTTACAACCACGTGTCAACCTTCTCAGCCTCCTTGTGTGATGTTGCTCTGCTTGTTCCCTATAGTCCAGCCTCACTCAAGTTCTAAAGTTCTGCTGGAGTTCATACCATTCCTTGGGCAGACACCTCTGTGCTTTGTACAAGCTGCTCTTTTGATTGGAAATGCTTTTACTCCTTCCACCCCTGAAACATTTCTGTTTGCTTCGAAAGACCAAGTGTCATCTCCTTGGTGAACCTTTCTTGAGCTCCCTAAATAGTTGCCTATCCTTTCTCTATTTTCCTACAAAATTTCGATGCTGGCTTTATTACAGTGTTCATCATGTTCATTTAATTGTTACAGATGTATTTGTTGCCACTCTTTTTAGATCCCTTAAGGACAGGGACCAAGTCTTACAAATCTTAGTTTTTTAGCATCTAAACAATAAACTTGGCACAGTGTCTTCAGTCCTCAGTTAATGCCAGTGAGTAAACGAGTGGGTGGGTAGGTCAGTTTGTGTTACTTTCTATATCTTCATATAATTTGAGGGATTCACAAGACACTGTTCTTTCCTCCTACCAGACCTGAAATCCCCACAGCAGTCATTGAACAAAGGTGGAGGTGCGGTCTGCCGAAGGCTGCCATTAAAAAGTACACATATT